ATCAGGCCTCAGAAAGGCCAACTTCCATTTGCCCTAAAGCAACATCTGGAGGAAAAACCCATGAGAAAACAGCCACCCATCGATGGTAACATCTCCAACTGCCAATTCTGTGCTAAGAAAAAGAAGATTTTTTCCAGCATCTATGAATTAATACTGAGGAATCTTTACCTCTTTTACTGGAAATGGTTAATTCCTTTGCCAGTTCCTAAATCTTCCACAAACTATTGACTTGTCCTGGTTTAGTTAGAAGCAATCCCAATTTATGTCAGGGAGAAACTGCTCCAAGTACAATTTACTTTCTTGCCCATAAAAGAAATCTTAGGTAAGGTTCCCCTCGCACCTCCGTGCTCGTCGCTTCCGGCTCTAGGGGGCAGTGCTCATTTCTGTTACAAAGCTGAAGAGCCAGCACTGTCCCAACACGTCTCCGTGGTCAGGTGGCCGGCATGACTAAATGCTGAAGATGCACGGAGCACTGTTACCTTCCCACCAAAGTGGTCCCTATTTTTGTAGTTGCATTTTTATGTGTTTTCAAAATGCTAGGTTGGCAGAAGCTAGGACAAGTAACAGGAGCTCACTCCATTATGTGGCGGTAGGGATTCGAACCGCCGAACTGCCAACCTTTCTGATCAACAAGCTCAGCATCTTAGCCATTGAGCCACCGCGCCCCCTCAAAAGAAATCTTAGCCCGTTCTTTTTTCTATTTTTGCTTTTCTCTCGAGTAACATCCCAAGCGTTGAAAGGGGAGCCAGGGGAGCGCATGGCTTCGATTCTTTCCTGGTGGTCAGGTGCCTTTTCAGAGAAAAGGTACAGGTTCCCCACCTGCTTGAAGCAAAGAGTCAGCCGGTTTCTTCTGCATTCCGAGATGGCTCTGTCCTGAATCCATTGCAATCGTTTCTTTGGGGGCCCCATCCAGTCCTCCTCTGCAGAATAAGCAGCAGCACAACTAACGTGCACTGGTTTTGGAGCAGAGTTTTCTCAAACTTGGCAAATTGAAGATGTGTGGACTTCAATGCCCAAAATTCCTCGTTAAAGTCATCAAATTGCTACGGGCGAGAAATACAGCTGTGGTATGTTCAGGGGCAACCTTCCTCCTCTGCCAGCACCCTCACTCTCAGGGAGGGCTCCACCTGGACCTGGATCTGCCCAGCTAAACCTCAGACAGCAGTGCAAGCCAACTGGGGCAGAACGTCCACAAGATCTGGAGCAGAGAGCACCACCCACGGACCTCTTTAATTGACAGCCCTTTGACACAACAATGGCCTTCAGCTCTCAGTCCAGTCAGTAGCACAGCCACGCTGTCTGTTGTGGCCTGTCGGCCGCCGGCCCCTCTGGCAGCCGAATCAGATGAGGAGGCAGCGTGGGAGTCAGGGCCAGCATCAGGGCAACCTGAGAGCTCTGAGGGGGAAGAGGGAATGGCACCGTCGGAGACAGAGACGGAGGGGGAGCCCGGCCGTCCATCAGCCCTCAAATGGAGAGTCAACAGCCTCCAGGTCTAGAGGTGGCTGATGAGGAAGAGGAGGAACAGCTGGGTTCAGTGCCGCACACATGGATATGCAGAAGGCAGAGGAGAGGAGAGCAGTGGAAATCTATGGGCCAGTCCTTGGGATAGAAGAGCCATTGCTGCTAGTGAGGCACCACCCTAGCTCTGGGGATAAAAGGCAGGGGGCGGAGATGAATAGATGTGGCAGACAACTACTCCTCTTCCTGTTGGACGGACTTGTTAGCCTGCTGTGAGAGAGGGAGAGACTTTTTGCTGGGGCTGCTGGCGCTCCTAATAAGGGAAACATTTCGTTAATGACAGAGGGTTTGTCGTGTTTGGGAGCCAGGTCAGCACACTGTCATTCTGGCCAGGCTGTAAGCGAGAAAATGGGGGGCTGTTATGTGTGAGCTCCTTTTTCTCTAATGGGGAATTCAGGTCTTTCAAACATCAAGCCCACCATACATCTAGTTGCCAAGAACTTGTAAACCATCTCCGTTCCTTGGCACTAACTAGGCAGGATGCCGAAGGCCGAGCGGGGTCCAGCTCCCATAGACTTTTCTCCTGTCTCTACAGGGAAAAGGGCCAAGAGCTTTTGGCTTAGTTGCTTTCTAAGGAAAACCGGACAGTCCAGGAACGGAAAGGGCACCAAAAAGGGGCAGGCAAAAAGCATTTTTCTCTTCAACCAAACCACATGCTGGTAACTCATGCTGACTCTGTCATGGTATGTGGGAAAGAAGGCCTTGAAAAACAGGGTGAAGAGATTTTGCTGAGGGAACAATCGGACAAGAGAGGAAACAGCCCTCAGCTGCACAATGGGTGGAGAAAGGGACCGCCCAAAGTTTCTGGCTGATATTGAGAGATTTGTTCTTTCAGGCTTGCAAGATTCTATGAACGTAGCTTTACAATAAAGTAGAAGTGGTTCCTCTGGTCGTGTTTCTTGTTGGTCTTCCTGGAAAGGCTGACGGACTCAGCCTTACCCAGGGAGGAATGTGGGCTCCGAGTACATTGTGTAGCATTGCCACAAAGAGCGCTCGACCTGCCAAAACTGACCTGTGTGTGGAAGAGAGGCGCTGCGCGGGGGCTTCGAACAAACTCCATAAAGAAGGTCCCATCCTGAAGAACCGGGAAACAGCAAAGGCAGCAACAGAAACAAAGGGGCAGGGGGAGAGAGACACGTTGTGCAGATCTGTCACTCCAAGTGGAAGGGTAACAGGGCACGAAAACCGCAGCAGGCGGGCGTGGGAGGGCACAAGGTGAAAGGAGGAAGCATTCAGAGCATGCACGAAGGAGAGACAGGGTTTCTGCTCCCACCCAGGCTGCCCTGAAAAACTGGATCAGATGTGGTGTCTTCCGCATTTTGCATTCGTTTGGGTTGCACTGATGCTCTGGGCTCCTGTGGCTGAAACACGGAAGCAGCAGGCACAGAGAAAGGCAGGCAAGCCTTTCATGCATCTCTTTCAGGCTACCATTTGCTTGCATTTCGTTATTTCTTTGTTTAAAACTTTTATATAGTTGCCCATCTTTTAGCCAATTCTGGGCAGCTTCCAATCAAAGATTTAAAATCTATAAAGTGATTGCATATGTTTTTACCCCAGATTAATGCCGATCACATCTGTCAGCGTGGCAGATTATTGGCTATTCCTTCCACATGCCAATACAACCTCAAAAATGGTCCTCATTCCCCAGAGACCCTAGAGCAACTACCCACAGCAGTGGAAAAGACCTGCACAAAGGCAGAGGGTGCCAAGAATCACCGGGTTAAATTAGGCTGCCTTTGGACTTTATAGGAACGGTTAACATTCGAACAACGGAAATGGATGCTCAACTAGGAGAACTTCTGATTGAACTCAACAAAATGCATTGGGGTATCATTGGATTGTGTGAAATACGACGAAAAGATGACAATTGAGTTTAATTGGATAAGTCTAGGCATTTACTCTACACTAGAGATACTGAAGATGGACGATGTGGCGGAGTTGGTTTTCTCACCAACCAAAAGCTGAAAGACTCTGAAAGTAAAATTTGAAAGTCTATCAGACAGGGTAGCCCAATGCATCATTCCACTGAATAAACAATACAGGCTTCAAATCATCCAAGATTATGCGCCAACAATAAGCTATAATGATGATGAGGTGAAAGAGTTTTACGATAATGTGTCTCGCCTTCAAGACGAAGAACAATGCCGATACAAAATACCAATGAGTGACTTTAATGCAGGAATAGGAAAAACAGCACCTGAAGTGATGAACAAGATAATAGAGGAGACAGACTAGTAGATTTTGCTGAAAGACAGGAACTTTGTATGATGAACTCATTTTACAGGAAAAAAGATAGTAGAAAGTGGACATGGAAGAGTCCATCTGGGTACACAAGTAAAATTGACTACATTATGTCAAGTGATAAAACCCTATTCTGTAATTGTACTATTATCAGTTGTTTTAATGTTGGAAGTGACCAAAGAATGGTACGAGCTGAAGTGAAGATAGATTGTCGAAAAGAATGTATGAAAATGATACAGATGTCAGAAAAAACAAAAAGAAAGAATGATAAGCTGTTAGGGGAAAAAAGCTATTTTGAGATTAATCTATCAAATCACTTTGCTCTATTGCAAAATTTGGAAGAGATTAACATTACCAACCAAAATGAACAAATAGTCAAAAACATCCTTAAATCTGCTACATCTATAGCATCATTGGAAAAATACTTTGTACAGTCAGAAATCTCTGATGAAACTATTGATTTCAGACAGAAAAAAAAGAGGAAAATACAAGGTAAACAAAATTGGTTCATAAAAAGCTATAATGAAATTAGAGACTAAACTTTGAATGACATAAATTGGCATTAATTAGGCATTGGATTCAATGCTGGACTTGCCTGGAATTGGTTAATATCAAGAAAATTAATTGTGGAAATGGTTGGAAATTATTGTTTAATATAACTAAGAGAAAAGAAAAGAACTTTAAAAAGTGGAAAGTGATACAGTGCGCCATCTAATGGTCATATACTTTTTTTCCTATGGAAAATTACTGTACTTATAACTGTTATGAAAGAAAAGACAAATAAAATAACAAGAACCCCGGAAATTTTGAAAAAAGGGGGAGAAATTCTACCAAGAGGATATATAAATGCAATTTCCTGGGACTGTTGGGTGTTGATTGTGACAAAGAGACATAAAGATTAAAAAAAGAAATAAAATAAAAGGAGACTTTTGGCAAGGATTGCAAAAAAAGACTTTGAATATTAATAATTTACTATAAAAATGGAAGAAATAAGCAAAGACTTTAAGTTGGAATTACAAATGGTAAAAGGAATGTTGAAAGAAAAAAGGGAATTATTGGAAATATTGGAAAAGAAAATAATGGGAATCGTTGAAGAACAAAGAAATTCCAGTGAGGCGGAGTTAAAGGAAGAAGAAAGAGGCTCAGACAGACATGGAGAACAAGAGACATTGCCAAAAGACACTAAAGGAACTAAAACTATGACATTGATGAGAGTTAATAAATAAAAGAGAAAACACTCCCAGGATTAAACAAAAGAAGAAGTAATTATACAAGAAGAAACTTCAAAAAAGAGAACAGGAAAGGGGGGGGGGAGAGAAAATGGGTGAAATGTTAGAAGGAAAGAAGGAAGACCAGGGAAATTTAGAAAAGGGAAAGTTGGCCAAAATTAAAATAAATAATAAAGCTGAAAAATTTAGAGATAAGGGTTAGGGATTCTATAAGAGGGATACCACATGGAACATATATTGGTGTTTAATTTAAAACTTGTAGGGAAATATATTAGGAATGTGTAATTACATGTATATAGATATAGATATATAGATATATGGTATTCAGCTTTGTTTGGGTATTTTCCCATGTCATTATAGTTGTGCTTTTAAAGCTGTAGCAACGTTTCGGCAGAATCTCATCTGCCATCATCAGGCTTCTGTATAGTGTTCGTCTGTGAGTCAATATTGTGAGAACACAATACAGAAGCCTGATGATGGCAGATGAGATTCTGCCGAAACAAAACTGAATACCATACATGTAAGTACCCGCGAAAACCCTTTTCTTTTTTGGAGGATCAAAACAAGGGAATGGAAATGAATTTTTTAAAAAAAGATGATTATCAATGATTATAAGTAAAGTGAAGATAAAATGAGAGATATTAAGAAGCTTATTTTAGTGATTTATTGGATGGGATATATAGTTGAATATACATACAGTTGATTATTTAATGGATATTAGAATTGTATAATGAGAATATTCTATTATGATTAAAGTAGAGGAATGGGAAATACCATGTGGATCCTAAATATATTGGTTTTATCTATATTTTTACTCTTTTTAGATTGTTTATTACATATCGGCTTAGAGAAAACTAAGGATAATAACGATGTGTAATGTAAAATAGGTGGTAAGCTGAAAATGGAAATAATAGGGGATCAAGATTTGAAAACTTATGTATGGATGAAATGATATTGAATTAATGAATTGAAATATGAAATGCAAATTTATTCAAAGATGAGTGAAATGGGTAATGATGAGTTAATGTTATATAAGATTAATGGAAATGAAAATATGACTATGTACAAGTGTTATAAACATGTTGCTCACGTGAAAAGATGCATAAAAATTAAAAAATAAAAAACTTTTGGGAAAAAAAATATTATCCAAGAAGAAAAAGGCAACTGAGGAAAACAAAGGGATTAAGAGCAAAATGCACGCTTATAAATACAAGAAAGATTTTTGCATGAAAACGTGAAGATGGCTCTGTGTGTAGAACAAGACAGGAAATGTTAGAAATAATTGGAAAATTCTATTGTGAGCTGTACAAAGATCAAGATCACGCAAAAGTAATAATACCCACGAAAAAGGAAATGCCGGATATCCTAGTGGAGGAAGTATCGTGCCATAAAATCAATGAAAAATGGCAAAGTTTCAGGAAATGTCCACGTTATGGTTGAAATGCTGAAATCTGGTGGTCACAGTTCACAAAGGATACTAGCAAAACTATACTTGAGATGCCTCAGAGAAGAAAAAATACCTGATACATGGAAAAACGCTGAAGTGATTTTTTACACAAGAAAGGGACCCAAGATGATTTAAAAAACTATCACCCAGTAAGCCTTCTTTCCGTCACCTACAAGGTTTTCACCAAGATAATAATAGCAAAAAGAATATTGAGAACATTAAATGATGCACAGCCACAAGGAACAGACAGGGTTCAGAAGTGGCTACAGCACAACACATCACATCCAGGTTCTTTTAGCAAGTCATGGAAAGGCACGAGTACATCAGGCCTCTATGCATGGCTTTCACTGACTACGAAAAGGCGTTGGACTCAGCATTCCAGCAAGCAATAATTAATGCATTGCTCCATCAAGGCTTACATGAATATATGAAATATAATATAATCAATATATGAAAAAACAATGGTGACAATTTGCCTTAATGATCTTAAAGTGGAAATGGACATAGAATGGGGTATATGACAAAGCAATACAATATCACCTATCCTTTTCTCAGCCTGCCTTGAAGAAGTGTTTCGCAAAGTTGACTGAGAAAAAGATGGAATAAAAAATCAATGGCGGCTATTTAAATCACATAAGATTTGCAGATGATGTTGTCCTCTTCTCACAAGACCCAGAAGAGCTACAAAGACACATACAAGAGCTGCACAAAGTGGGAGAACCATTCAGCTGAAAAATAAAACCCGACAAAGAGCCAGGTTATGTTTAATAAATTCATCAAAGAAAGAAAAGAAATTATATCTGGAGAAGAACTAGACCACTACATGTACCTTGGTCAACAGATCTCAATGGAAAGTGATACAATAAAGGAAACTGAACAGCGTGTTAAATGTGATTGGCAGGCATTCGGCAAACTAAACATAATTTTCAAGAACTACCTCCCTCTCTCTATGCCTGAAAAGTTTTCGATCAGTGTGTGCTACCTGCTCTAACATATGCTGGTGAAACATAACCTCACAATCGATACAAAAGCTACAAGTGACGCAAAGAGCCATGGAAAGATCCATGCTCGGCATTAAAAAACAGGAGAGAAAGACCTGCACATGGATTAGAGAACAAACGAAAGTACACGAGATCATCTAGAGAGTCAAAGAATTGAAATGGAAACAGGCTGGTCACATAGCAAAAGGAACGGAGGGCAGGTGGACCAAGGCAGTCGTGGAATGGGTCCCACTTGATCAAAAGTGTCCACGAAAGAGACCTAAAACAAGATGGATCGAGGACATCAGCAAGTATGGTGGCCCCAACTGGCAAAGGAACACTCAGGACCGTATTGGTTGGAGACATGCAGAAGAGACCTTCATCCTGCAGTGGGTAGACAATGGCTAGGATGATGATGGTTCAGGAATTCAAATTAAGCCATCTCTGGTAGATGAGGGTCCAGTAGGGATGACAAACTGAAAGTCAAGCCTGTGTCAGAGAAGAAACGGAAGTGCTGGCCCTGCCACACCATTCAAAGTCCAACCTCTTGAAATGCCCTCTGGCTCTGACTGTCTCAGGGAGGCAGGAACCTCTCCAGGGTTTCACTTAGTGCCCAAGAGAGTTTCGCTGAATGACTGTGACATTCAAAGCAGGTGGAAAAGCAGATGTTTTGCAGAAGGCAGCCTGCAGCTATCCAGCCATGGTACATTTCAAGCACTGGAAGTCAGCCTGGAGGTTGCAATGCCCTGGCTGAGCCAGCATTCACCCCAAGCCTAAACCCAACCAGGAGGGACCGGAATACCAGGGTTGCATTTTGAAGTGCCAAAGGGAGGCATTACTAGGACAAGCCTCTCGCAACTGGGCCTAAGCACCCGCCGGTGATCCAAAACGATCAAAACAGGCTTGCAATGCAAGAGCTGCCCTGTGGGTCAAGCATTTCAACACTCACACACACTTCATTTTCACCTTCGAAGAATGCAAGGACCTCAGCTCAACACTGTCCCAGAAGACCCCCACCAAAATGAAAGACTTGCTAACTTTGAAGCTCAGTGTTTCTCACTTTAAGATGGGTGGACTTTTAACGCCAAGAATTCCCCAGCCAGCATACGACCTCTTTCACATATACCTTGTCCCACCTGGTCTGGTGTCAAGACTCATCCCTTATTTCACATTGGTGCCCCTGTCAGCGGTTAACGGAGAGCGCATGCAAGCCACATGCACGGAGCCCTATGCAGGAGTGTGTCACTGTGTTGAAGCTTCTGCCCTCACCTTCCGTGGACTGTCCATGTAGGTGGGGGTCATGGCGATGCTGCTAGTCTCCGCTGGCTGGATAGAGGTCTTCCCAGCAAGGGCTGCGGCTTGTTGTTCCCCTAATATCCTAGAAAAAAGAGAGAGAGGGCTCCATGAAAAATCTCTTGGCCTTCATGGAGAAGAAAACGCCCCACCTCCATGCCAGGACGACCATGCCAGCTCCTGTCATGCCCCTGTCGGAATCTGATTCCGAGGGGGAGGCTAAACAGCTGACAGGGAGTGGGGGTGTGGTTCTGTTGGCTGTGGAAGGGCACAGTCCGGCTGGGCAGAGCAGGGGAGAAGTAGAGCAAGGCAGAGGGAATTCAGAGGAAGATCCAGGCCCACCCCCTCTTCATCCTAAGGCACGCAGGAAGGAAAGGAGAAGGGAGCAATGTGAGTTGCGTGGGGGAGGAAAGGGCCCTGATTCCCTTCATTAGCTGCAGCTGGGAACACAGTGTTTAAAAAGGGAGTTTGTGCACAGCAACTTGTTGGAAGCAAATCGTGAGTTATCTTTTATTGTCGAGGCTTATCTGGGTTCCTGGCGTCTTCCCAACTGTGTGTGTTTTGCTGGGCTTTCAAGTCTGCAATTCCTTCTCCTGCCCTGTCCAGTTCATTACTACAGATTGGATTGTTATTTACAGTTTATATGTACCTTGTTTTTGGACTGAATTTCCTCCAAATAAAGACTGTTCTTGGGAGAGTTTTTCTTCAGCTGAAGGTAACTGGACATTGGGGGCAAAGTTGGAGGCATTAAAGGGACTTTTCTTACTTATCTGTGTTGCCTTTGTGCCATGCCCCTTTGGGTCATCACAGCTTCTATCGGAGGTTTTGATACTAGGCAAGGAACCCACAGAGATGCACACACTGGACTGCCCAGAATGCCCCCCACTTACGGGGGCGCCAATGGGGAAGCATCACACTGCAAGTGGTTGATAGATTAATACAGATCCCGCCTCCCCCCTGCCCATTTCTCCCTCCCTCTCCATGCTTTTGTTATAGCTGATAATCTGTTTTTATACTGTTTTATTTTTATTGTGCAGGTAGTCCTCGACTTACAACAGTTTATTTAGTGACCATTCTAAATTACAACAGCACTGAAAAAAGTGACTTATGACCATTTTTCACATTTATGATCCTTGCGGTATCCCCGTGGTCTTATATTTGGATGCTTGACAACTGGTTCATATTTATGACAGGTGCCCCAGGGTACGTGACTATTTTTTTGTGAACTTTTTGATAAGCAAAGTCAATGAGGAAGCCAGATTCACTTAACAATCATGTTACTAATACGGTAATAACTGTTGTAAAATGGGGCAAAACTCACACATTTATCACTTGGCAACATAAATTCTGGGCTCAATTTGATTGTAAGTTGAGGACTATCTGAATACATATTTTGCACTGTTTTATTCTTTTTAACATTGCAAGCCACACTCAGTCTTCTTGTGATAAGATGGTGGCAAACAAAATCAATTCATTAAACCAACGAATGTCTCATACAAAATTGGACCCATTTGATTATTTCAAAAGTAAAAATGTGCATTTTAAGGGCGGTCACTTATGCTCTGAGTCACCTCTTGGTTGGATTACTGCAATGCGCTCTACCTGGGGTTACCCTTGAAATATTCAGAAGCTACAGATGGGATAGAACCCAGCACCATGGACAGTTCTGGAGGCCCCTTGGGTGACACATGTAACACTGTGGTTGCAGGATAACAGATAACAGATAATCAGAGTTGGAAGGGACCTTATAGGTCATCTAGTCCAATCCCCCGCCCAAGCGGGAGACCATTTCTGACTGATGGCAGTCCAATTTCTTCTTGAATGTCTCAAGTGATGGTGCTCCCACAACTTCTGAAGGCAATTTCTGTTCCATTGCTTGATTGTTCTCAATGTCAGAAAAATTCTCCTTATTTCCAGGTTAAATCTCTCCTTGTTCAGTTCCCACCTATTATTCCTTGTCTGGTCTATTTAGAAAATAGATTGACTCCTTCCTGTCTGTGGCAGCCCCTCAAATATTGGAAGGCTGCTATCATGTCTCCCCTGGTCCTTCTCTTCACTAGACTAGCCAGGCCCAGTTCCTGTAACCGTTCTTCATATGCCTTAATCTCCAGTCCCCTAATCATCCTTTTGCTCTTCTCTGCGCTTTTTCTAGTGCAGGAGCTGCACTGGTTGCCAATTTGTTTCTGGATTCCCTTCAAGGTGTTGGTCACTATTCTTAATTCTGGGAGTTATCAGCTGGCTCAGGAATTCTGGGAGTTAAAGTCCACAGGCTGAAAAGGGGCCATAATTGCCCATACTTTGATGATCTCAAAGACTCTGTGGATCCTTGCTATCTATGTCAACTTTGAACCGAACTTGGCAGCAGCCACCTTTCTGTTCCTCAATTGCCACACAGAATGGGAAGGAGGTTGGAATGCCTTGCTAGACACAAGAGAGACAGCTTTCTCACGAGAACCAAGGCCTTCTCTACTGGCAACGGATTAAGGTTGGGGAAGGAGTGCCTGGAGAGCCCGTCAACGAACCCAATTGGCCAACGTGACCTGTGACACTTGGGGCTGGGGTTATTTCCTATTTTAATTACACTGAAACCGTGGGATTTAGAGTTGGTTTTCCTTTGAAGCTGTGCCGATGTGATGTACCCAATAAAGAAGAATGTTGAGAAGGATCCTAGTCTCAAAGTTCTGATTTGCTTGGGTTTGTTAGTCGGAGCCTTGACACCAAATTTGACTGGTGGGGTATCGAGGCATGAAAAGGGTGGAAGACTCCAGAGAGGGCTATCAAGCGTGCATACATGAAGTAGATCCTATGCACTCAAAAGGTTCTTCCAAAGAGATCCAAGTCATCGATCAGCCGAACCACTTCAGTGACACAGATATGAAGCATGCAGGTTCCTAAACTGAGAAACTGGGATGCGTGGATGTACATATGGAGAGAGTGGCACAATTCCATGCAGGTGTGCTTCTCCAGGAACTCACCTTTGGCTGGCCTCCATCTCTAGGAGAGCCGAGAGCGCGGAGGTCCCCTTCTTGGCCAGCGGAGGTGGCCCTGGAGGTTCCAGAGAGGGGGCAGGAAGGGGACTGGTGATCTGCAGGCCCTTCATTGCAGGCCCTTTCTGGACAGGAGGAAGACAGCAAAGAGTCAGCGAGAGGAGGGAAAGAGAAGAGATGCTCATGGGGACCTGGTGTGTGTGTGTGTGTGTGTGTGTGTCAGTTTTAGGACAGCCTTGAATTTTTGCAAAGGATTCTGGGAACTGGAGTTACAGGAAAGCTACAGGTATCAATTCACAAAGCATTCCTGACCTGCTCTCCAGTTGACCCAGGCAAAGGGGATTGGGAATTGAACCTCACAGCTGCATCGTGAACTTGCATTTCAGTCAAAACAAAGCACATTCCAGCCAGCAACATCAAGGTCATTTCCAAGGAGACCCACAGTGGCCGGAGGGACTTCTACAACCCGCAAAATTGCTTCGTTGGGGAATGTGACTGATGACACATCTTGGGGAGAGGGGGAAACAGGGTCAGAGCTAAAGTGCAGATTAAGTGAGGTCAGAGTTGGCTTCATTTGGTCTGTGCCGACATGAAGCTCCTAATAAATGACTGGATTTCTTTTGAAGCTTGGCCTGAGGCTCATGATTTAAATAGGGCAGCATCAGAACCCTGACAAAAGGAGCTTTCTGCCTTTTATCTATGAGGAACAGCAGCTCCCAAGAGAATTTGTTGTATCACTTTCTTGAAAGCAGAGATGAAGGCATTGCATAATCTTCCAATGCTGGTCATCTGAATTGGACATTTTTTAAATTGTATTTTAGCATGTTGTAAGCTGATGGGACACGGGAAGATTGAGCAGGAAACAAACCTGATAGGTAAATAAAGTCTTACTTTGTTCATATGGGGATATTTTCATCCTCCTTTTTTTAAAAAAACAACCCTCCATTGGTCAGGAGGCTGAGACACTCTTGGGCTCCTCCTACAAGGGAGTACCAGCCGGGTTCTGTTCCGCAACCAGAGGTCGGGTGGGGAAGCCCCTTGAAGCTCCCAGATTGGGTGCCCCGACTTACCCGGATGATCCGGTCCGAACGGTGCCGCCTGCGGATGCGGTTCAGCCCTTCCACGAAGCGAATGAAGCCGTCCAAGAGCTGCCACTCCTCTTCGTCGGAGCGAGCCTTGCCGCCATAGATATCACAGTGGCCTTCGCCTTCCATGATGCGCTTGGTGGTGCTGATGCAGGCCGGCAAGAGCAGGAAACGCGTCCGCCAGAATTTGAGCGACTCAATCAGGCTGTGTGGAGAGAAGGCGGCAGCCGAGGAGGCAGAGATCAAGCCAGTGTTTCCTCCATGGGGCTTTCACTGGCTGTCATCAGACACTGACTTTCCCCTCGTCTCTCTCTCTCTCTCTCTCTCTCTCTTTCTTACAAATACATCCCTGCAACCTTCAGTTTAACCATTAAAAGCTGGAAGAAAGGGAGGAACGGACTCCCCACTGGGCTGTCTGGAAGGATAAGTGTCCAAAACAGGGTTTTCCTTCTGGCCCGACTTGATACAGGTACAAGTGCTGAATTGCCAGGATGGTCATTTATTAAATGTATCCCATATCTTGAAATATTAAGAGATACAGATCAAGAAAGTCACATTCATATTTAAAAATAATAATGCAGGATTCAATCTGATTTGGTCACCGGAACCAAAGGTTTCTTCTTCCAGGTTTAGTTTAGCTTAGTTCAGTTTAGTTTACCTTATTGTCATTGCACCTCGTACAACACAATTAAACGCCATCTTCAGTGTACGTTATGACTATGAAAATAAACACAAACACACCTCCTTCACATTCTATACAACTGAATTGAAAATCCTTGATATTGCATTAATGTTGCACTATACGGTAGAATTCAATAAGAGTTAACTGCCCTGGGATAGAATAGTTTTTGGGTTCATGCTGGAGCCCATCATCAGGGAAGGTCTCTCTTTCTCTCCGGATATTCTGGAGAGAGAGAATTTCCCTATTGATGGGTTCCACCACAAGCCCAAAAGCTTGGAAGAATAAACCTTTGGCCCTAAGGACCGACTCAGATTGGATCCTGCAGCATTATCCTGGGACTTGTGTATTTGCTTTCATTCACATTAATAATAATAATAATAATAACAACAACAACCAAAATGAAAAAAGGGATTTGCAGATGGCAAGTCACGGAATCTATTGCAGCAGCACATTTATCCCTGCCAGGAAAAACAGAGGAACACCCTGGAGCCCTCCCTCCTCTTTTCTCTCCCAAGGCCGTGAATCCAGTTCCAGGGAGTCAATGGGCATCTGGGCTTCCAGCCTCTGGTTTCCCACACGTGACTCCAAGCCAGGAACGAGCGTACGAGAAGGTCCACAGCATCTTTTCTTACGGTACCCCATTTATACTGAAAGGACTTCCAGTTTTTTTCTCTCCATCAGACTGGAACAAGTTCAAGCTGCCCATTTTTCTTTTGGAACACTTTGGCTCATCCCGAAGAGCTAAACGGAGACCTAGCTGAGAGATCTGGCAGACCCTGCCTTTCAGGGTCATTTCTGCAGAGGGATGCCCCCCCCCTCCTCTAATTCCCCACGGCGTTTCAATATCCTCTTTCGACTCCCTTCTCTACATTCTCCCTTAACCTTTGGCACAACCAGGAGCAACGGCCACGTGTTACTCCAGGTCAGATTCTATGTCCTCCGGGCCCAATACTGCTAGGAGGCATTCTGAGCTTGGGTGTTTCCTTGCAGACATTTCATTACCCAAACTAATTAACACCATCAGTGCTAGCGCTAGCTCTGATCACTAGCACTAACTAGCTAGCATCACTAGTACTGATGATGTTATCTAGTTTGATGTCAGCCTTCAAGATCTTCTTTCTGGCTGTCATGAGTAACAGGGGGGAGGAAGGGGGAAGGCTGGAGATGCTACTAACTAATATTGTATAAACTGAGGAGGGTTTCTATTTCTTGCTTGGCGTTCTCTTCTCTGCGCAACTGCAAACCTTTATCTGAGTAAGCCAAGGTCAACTAATCACCACCACCTGGAGATGTCCACATGCTGAGGTTCACAACTTTTAATTGGAAGAACAGTTTGAACTGTTGGCGGTGGGGACATTTCACTCCCTTGATATATGTGATTTACGCGCCCATTTCCTCAGATTCAGAATTCTCTTGTTGCTACCACTTGACTTCCAGTAAAAGATATCTTTTCTCTAATTACAAGAGTCTAAGTATTTCTTTCTTGGATTTTGAACGGAGCACCAGCTGACAGTTTGGGTAATGAAACATCTGCAAGGAAACACCCAAGTTCAGAGAGCGACCAGGACGCCTCATTTCAACCCAATATTCTCTTTTATGGGTACCCCTATTGCCATCCCTTGCACTGCATGGGTTCCTCCCTGATTTGGAGACGGCACTTCACCGTGTCAGAATCCGGGGGATCGATGCTCGAAACAGAGCCCTTTTCCCTCTAGCTGAGAGTACGGGACCCTTTGAATTTGGGTTAGTGGAGAATGCACATTGCTGATGCTGCTGTGATTATTATGAATTCCAAATTCTCTGTGAAACGCAAGAAAGATAAGCAAAAAACGTATTTCTCCCTAACATTCTGTAATGGACTGTATGGATGACCTTGGGGGATGAGGGGAAAAGAAGCTGCCCACGAAGAAACCAGGCAAGAGAGCCAGGAGCCTTCACAAACAGAGGAAGAAACTTAAAAAGGACTTGCATGAAGGGATCAAGTTGTTAGAAGTGGCTTGTACCTTCAGAGTTGCAAGTTTCAGTCAACGAGCCTTATAATAAACCAGAATTAGCTCACCTAGACTGGCCGTCCTGCCTTTGCGACTCCTCACAAGGGCATCCTTTTAAAGCAGGGGTCCCCAACCGCCGGTCCGCGGACCGGTACCGGGCCGCGGAACAAGCCTTACCGGGCCGCTGGTTGCTGGTTGCCGCCATCTTTTTTGACGAAAAAGCGCTTCCGGTGACGTCACCGGAAGCGCTTTTTCGTCATAAAAAGATGGCGGCGCCCAGTTGACGCCGGTACCGGGCCGCGGCGCCCAGCTGATGCCGGAACCGGGCCGCGGCGTCGAAAAGGTTGGGGATCCCTGTTTTAAAGGACCAGGTGCTCACTTAGCACCTATTTATAAAGAGTTGGAAGGACCAAGGCCCTCAGCTTACCTGAAATCTTCCGAACCAGCCGAACAGATGTACTGATCCAGATAATTCCACTTATATTCCTCTAACCTCTCGTGGGAGAACTGCACCCAGCAAGAGACAAACTCTGAGTTTGAGTGGGAAGGACACAGACTGTAAGTGTAATTGATCTGGGCAGATTCATACGGGTACCTAAAAGGAACAAAAATATCCAAGCAAGCCCTTTCAAGTCAGAGGCCACGGGGGAAGGTCTTTTCTTTGAACATAACAGTGGTTGATGAATGACTCTCGCCTCCTCCCGGCCTTCCTACTCTCAGGCACAAGGCAGTGAAACCTGATGACCCTTGCTAATTAGGAATGGCCCGCTGATTTCCCTGGGGAATATAAAGCCGGTCGAGCGAGCGTGGCTACCGGATGCGTAGCCTGTGTTAGGGTGAAGCAAAGGGCTTTGATAGGCTTTCAGGGTTCTTTTCCAATGCTCTAAAGCAGGAGTGGACTCCAACTTGAGACTTGTGGACTTCAATTCCCAGAATTCCTCAGTCAGCCATCCCTAAGTCCACAAGCCTTCAAATGGCCAAGAATGGAGGCCCTGCCCTAAGGACCCTGCAAGACTTCCAGTGACTCCCATTTCCTGCTCCCAGAGTGGACACAGGAAGAGACACTCACTTTGGCAGATACCGGGTGACCGTGATGATTTTGTCCTTCAGGGTCACTTTATGGAAGGTCCGGCCCATGCTCAGCCAGTACTGGTCATCCTCCTCGGGTCGATTGCGTGACACAAGACCTGGGCGGAGATAAAAAGACGAATTAGACGTGCAGATAATTTCCCCAAGAAATGTAAGCAGAGAAGGTACGGAAATCAGCCGCCACATGGTTGCTTTGCTACGTTGCTTTGCAGCAGCTTGATTCTATCTAGAAAGATTTCCCCTCAAAGCAGAGACAGAGAGTTGGAGCACGTATGAGGAGCCAATAGGACACCAAGGGAAGAGAAAGGCTTACCCTTTACTCGCACACACCCTTTTACACATCTCACACGTTCTCCCAGCTTACACAGAGAGCGTCTCTTTTTCTCCTATTCCTTTCCTATTTCTCCCGGACTGGCTGGTTTTCATCAACCTAGACATGGGCAATTGCTATAACTTGGCAAGGGTCTCTCTATTCCCGAGTAGTTCGCGGTCAGGGAAATCTATCCATCGTTCTTTGATCTTCACCTGCCATCCCAGGGTGCTTTTTGCTTTCGAGCAGCTGTGAGCTCAGATGGCTGAATCTCGTCCGACCAGGCACATCATACACTTCACCGGGTCCATTGTGTATCATGCTGACTCAGACAGGTCAATGGCTGGTTACCTTCTGCCTCTCCCTGGTCCAGGTGCCCTTGGCTGCCCACGTCCAAACGGCTCTCCCAACATGGGGACTCACCTCTGCTGTACAGGGGGCTGCTGCTAAGGGGAGGCTGGACCGCTGCTGGCTTCTGGGGCTTGCTCTGCACAATGAGTTGGTAGCCCTGCATGAGACGCTGGCAGATGAATTCCTCAAAGACCTGCTGGGCCGTCATCAGCAGGCCTTCCTCGTCCCTCCTGAGGAAGAAAGCGGCGGGTGTGTGTGTGTGTCATCACAGGCAGGCGATACAACGCAGGGGACCCTCCCCCTCCATTACTCCCCCAGAGGAGGCCAGGAATAAGGGGCGCTGGGACCCCCAGAATCGGGCCCCAACAGTTTCAGCCCCAGGCCCTGCTCTGCTCCCCATCACCTCAGGGGAACCAAAAAGTGGGGGAGCTCCCAGAGATGCCTCTACAGGTAGTCCTTGAATTATGACCAGTCACGGTGGTGATTTTGGCAGGAATTTGGCCTGGTTTCTGGCAAAAAATGACTATTACAGAAAATTGGGTTCATTTCACGACTGCGTTTGCATAATGACCGCTGTCAAAATATCCTAAAATGGTGCTGTGTCTCAACTTACAACCATCATGACATATATTCTCCTATGTCAATTGTTGTTTGGATGATGCCAGGCTGCTGTGAGCTTTATATTCTTTATATTATGTATTTATCTATTTTATTTCTCACCTAGAGTCAGAAACGTGAGGTGGGTGGATCTACAATCGAAGGAATGAATGAATCAAAGCTCCAGCTGCTGCCTCTGTTGCTGCTTGGGTTCTCCTCCTCCTTTCAGGTGCCCTTAAGGCTGGCTGGTGCCACTCTTGGGGGTGCCCCTTGCTCTGGCAGGGTTCCCCGGATGGCTGGAGGGTGCTACACTCCACCCTTTCACTTGGCTCAAGTGCTCCCTCCTCCCCATGATTGGGTGCACTGGCAAATCAGCTGCCCCTAAGATTGCTCCCCTCCTCCCCAGAAATGTTGTCGAGTAGGAAGAACCTGGGCTTCTGAAGATCATTTGGTACTCAAGGCTGTTTTTATCAAGTGCCCCACGCGATGAGTGTGTGGCACCCCAAGAAGCACCCCAAGAAGGCCTGATCACCCATAAGCCCAGCCAAGGGAGGAGGAGAAGGAAGAGGACGCCACAAGCGTCCGTGCCTGGGCACTGCAGAGGTGCCCTTGCTGGAACCGAAAGCTCCAAATTCAGAAACGCAAAAGCTACAACCAGGGATGTCCCAGGTAAGGGCAGGGTGAGGATCGGTTTAGGCAAGGGAGAGAGACTGGCCAAACAGGACTGAAATGAGCCCCTGGCCTGAATGAACACCCCAGGGAGCTCAGTCGGTGGCATGCGGCTTTTCTGAATGGCTCCTCTCTGTGGCTCATTCAGCCTGAGGGGGAGAAAAAGAGCCACCGCTTTCCTCGCAAGGACAAGCTGACCGGTGGCCCCCTGGGGTCAGGCCAGAGCGGAGAGGACAACACGAGGCGTTTCCCCTCCTAGGTGGGGCTCAGGCAACAGTCGGTGTGTGACTTGGTCCCCCGGGAGCCAGGCAGACGCACCTCTCCAGGTCCGCTTCAGGAAGGAGATCGTAGCAGCCCTCGGTGTAGTCGTTCCGCAGGCTCTGGCGGTCCGGGAAGTAATCCGTGGTCAGAGGAAGACAGGCTGGAGTGGTGAGAGACTTCCAGTCCACCCCAACAGTACAACAGAAGCCTGGCACTATGGGGGGAGCAGACAGCGTCAGAACTGTCTCGTGTCGTGTACAGAGGGTGAGGAGGAGGAGGAGGAGGAGGAAGAGGAGGAG